AGTTCCAATATAAAGTCAACACAGCCTTACCTTCTGCCTCTACCTCTACTGCATCCACAGGTTCCACGGTCTCTGTATCAGTCATGTAGCCAAACATGGCCATAACACACTGCTCAAATGCTTCTTCCAGAGTGTCTCCCCAGGCATGCAGCCTAAAAAGACACGGGATAATTTACCAGACCGTAACAACAACAACAACAAAATAATCCCAAAGTAATATGCAGGTGAGAAATCAGAACGTGAGAATTAATGCAGAGGAAGCGAATGAACAAAAATACTTGCTTTTCTGTACCTACGCATTTGGGCAGATTACAAGAGATTTTCCTTCTTGCGGTTTGTGAGAAGAGTTTCTTGGGAGAATATGGAAAGCGTGTGTTTTACCAGACAACAAGAAAGTTCTTTCCTAATTTGGCTAATTGATGTCTATAAAAGTGAACTACTCAGAAGAAATTTGGTTTAAAAGGAAGAGATTAAAAGGAGATTTCAAAAGACATTTCCAAGTAACAGAGGCTTAATCAGAAGCACCACAGAAGTATTACATTAGAAAAGAAACTAAACGTGATTCTATACTCTCCCAAGAGCAGAAACAAAATTGACCATCAAAAACCCCAGTGTGTGACATTTCATAGTTCCATAAGGTGTACATCTGCAACCAGTCTTCGACAGGTGTTCCAGATTTATGTAAGTGTAAGAAATAATCAATTTGTCATATTGAGAAATCCCGGCTGCCCATACTTACTGCACATCCGCTGTGTGATCCAAATCTGAGGGGGAAGGAAAAAGAAAAGGCACGACATCACCAAACATATTTTAAAAATGAGGATTAAAGAAAAGGAAATCAGATACTGTTGTTGTAACAAGAACTTTTTGCATTCGTTTTCAGATGTGAATCAGTGATAATCTATTTTCCAGTATATTAGAAGAAGTTAGCACAGGTGGAATCTTGGATTATTTCTGCCAAGCAGAAAAAGTGTTTAATATAATTATGTCAGTGCCCTACGTGTACAGCTCTGTGTGCAAGGTATGGCTGTTGTAACACAACAGGCTTCTACAAGTTAACTGCAATAAAAAGAAACTTTAACCAGGTGTAAAGAGTTTTTGCTGAAGTCTGCAGGACTGAAAATTATTCACGCAGAGGGTGAGATTTGCAAATATTTCCAGCTCAGTGAACAAATATACCTGTCCACACCCAAAAACACCCATTATGCAAAAAGGAGAACTTGAAAAAACTATGTAATAGAAAATAGAAGGCAATCTTCACTAATAAGGTACGATTAACATCCCAACCATGTATCAAGTTTTACATGACTATCATTTATATTCATTTACAGGAATGAGAGAAATGCAAAATGATACCAGGTTGGCAGAAACAGAGCTAACCTGGGGTGTAAAATAAATGCCAAGTCACGATCACTCTAACTGAAAGATTGTTCTGATGCCGTTTAGATCCTTCACGGACTATTAATGGATTCTCAACAACGGTCTCTAAGGCAAACAAATTCCAGTGAATGTAAAAGAAGAATAAACCCTCTTCCAGTTATGGAAACAGTGTGACTATTGTAATATGTCACCATATTTCTGCACTGCTATCACATAAAGATCTGAACGCATCCTAAAAATATGTATTCTGACAGAGTAATAGGCACTGTCCCTCCAGACAGACACGGCTGAAATAGAAAACAGTCAGACACTGGTCTCCTGTGAGCGCCTTAAACTGGCCCTTGGGCTGCCAGCCACTTGCTTGACGTGTTCTTAGAAGACATTCCAGGGGTGGGGAAATGGAGAGATAACTGATCTTTCAGTAGTGTACGTAGGAGAAAAAACACCACGCAGAAGACCAACACCCTCTTGAACATCAACTCCTCTATAAGAGAGGCAGAAAAATGTACTGCCTTGCTAAGAAATAGCTTGAAAGGGGAAAGTTTTCAAGGTGAGACTTAACTAATTTATTTCTATCATGATTTCTTTAGCACCTATAACAAGAGGCATTTATCTGCAATAAAGAAAACTGTAGACATCTCATGTCTATTAATTCAACTACAGATGCATCCCACAGTCCAAACACATACGATACCGGCGTATTAAGAAACCCCACATGTGCCTAAAAGGCATATCCTGCTATCTTCCTTCCCCCCCCTCCCCCTCGTGACTGTACTGTCACACGTACGCTGCATCAGGACAGCGTTAAAAACACTCACATTCGTACTTCTTATTGAGCGGTGGGTATTTGGCTTTGACCGCCTTCTGCTCCTCCGTCAGGTTGTAGTCCCTCTCATCGGCTGCCATAGCTGCTGGGCTTGAGCAACACTCACTCACTTCCTGGCGGTAGGAAACATGGCCACCTCCGGGAGTGCTTCAACCCTGCCAGGCGTCCCCGGCGATGCTGCGGTAGAAAAGGGAGAACTGCCTCTCTCACTTCAGTTTTTCACTTGACAGCAGTTTGGCAACGCTTGTGCACAGGCTCGGATATTCAGAACAAGATACTAAATGCATGTCATTTAAGCTGTTCGCTGTCAGAACTGTCACTGGGGAGACGGGGGAAGTTCAGAGTTCAATCCTACACCGCTTGCCTCATTAACTGATACGAGTTACGTTCAGCCAGTGAAGCCAAGGGATTACAGTCCTTGCAGAAAGCGTGGACTTTGGCCTTTTCTGGGAAGAACCATGTTTCTTCCTCCTCATTGTGTACGCCACCAAGCATTTCATTCATCCTCAAATAATATGCTGCAGTAATGATGAAAAGTGAATGAAATGAAATGAAAACAGCTGTAAAGTAAATTAAACTTCCATGCTTCAGGTTAACTTCTACTGAATTTTACAGCTGAGGGTACTCAGCCCACTAGTACATTACACAGCGAGCTGAAATGTGCATTGCCTCCAAACCCCCAGATGTGACCTTACACATGATTTTTCTTCAGGAAAAAAAAGTCTAGTTTTCTCTTAGGCCAGGGATTGTATTTAAGCCTTCAAACCTAGAAGCAGATACGACTGTCACACAAGTGCAGGGGTTTTCCTCTGTTCCTTTTCTTGCAGAATGTGGGGGGTTTTTTAATTAAAAAAAGCCCCAACCAAACAGTGAACTGTTATCAAATCCCCATTTAAAAGTCTAATTCTCAGACCAGATCTTAGTAGTTGCTGTTTCATGCAAGCTTTCATTTGTAAATCTAACAGACACTAATTGGAGAACCTGATTAAGTTCAGGCTAACTAATTTTCCTCAGATGAAACCTCCCCAGATTTCCAGATATAATAACCGTTCTCACTCTTTCATTTTTTTTGTGCGTTGTAAGATTTATCCACAGCTGAACCCAAGACTTCCCCAAATAATGCAAGTGCTAGATCTATAGATAGCATGTAACATCATCAAGACTGCTTTTAAGCAGGAGTGGTTCTTACTCTGAGGCTTAGAAACAAGACTACACAGAATTTCCAGTTTCTACTTTCTAAGCATCTGGGTACGTTGCAAAGAGAGGTCCGAAATTGAGAAGGCAGTGCTCCCCTTAGGGAACAAACCCAGCTGAACACACATTTTGATTTTGAACCTGTTCAGCCCCGATTGCGGACAGTCAGATCCACGACTGCTCACCCCGCGTTACCCACAGCGGGCCGATCGCAACCAGCCACGCACTAAGGAGGGCTGTCTGCAAAGCTCACCGCTGCACTCAATTAGGGAAAAAGGGAAGTTATTAGTGATTATAAACAGTTAAAAACCCAAGAAGCAAGCTGAGGATACTCCGAAGGTTTCTGGGCAGCCCCGTGAGGAAGGAGGGCCGTGAGGACCGGGCCTCGGCCCCACGCACGCACCGGTCTGGTCCCGTTCGGTCCCGACACACTCTGCCCACCCCTGTGGCGACCGAAGGAAACGGCGGCCGCAGCCACGGGCCTTCCCGCTCCCCAAACCGGGGCCTACGCCCAAGAG